CCCCAAAACCCCAAAACCCCAAAACCCCAAAACCCCGCAAGTTTAATAAACAAGCAAACATATGAATTTGAAAACATGCAATTATAGCTAAAATAATGAATTTATTTTCTCACAACATTATCATGATAACCTTCATGCTCATAACACTCATTTAGGCTATTGTTATTTGGCAGCAGTTTCCTCTTCTCTTTCCTTCTCAATCTCTTTAACAAATTTATCGATTGTCTCATCATCAAGAGTTTGAAATTACTTTGGGCCAGTCATTAAACATATCTCAATGTTCTTTGAACTTTCAACTACCTCTAACAATGCTTCAACTGCGAGTTTGATAGCTTGGTTATTGCTCATTCCATCCTTGTGGTTTTTCTCTAAGTATTCTCTTAGATTTTTGGAGTTGCGACCAATGGCATTAGCTTTCCATAGAGAATAAGCACCTGAGGGTTCTGTTTGATAGAGTCTTGGCTCTTTGCCCTCATAGCCGATCATGAAAGTTGAAATACCAAATGGTCTGACACCTCCTTTTTGAGTATATTTTTGTTGGGTTTCAGCAACGAAGCGAGCAATATATTCAAGAGATGGCTCATCTTCGAGGTTGAATCGGAAACTTTGACATTCAACTCTTGCTTTGTCAACCAAAACTCTAGCATCAGCTTATAGCCCAGCGAATGTAAGCATAATATGTTGATCAACTTAGAGTATTTTCTTGATTGTGTGGGGATCTTGAAGAGCAGCAGTTGTCTTTTTCTCTACAGCTAATACAACGCAATCTTGACCTTTAACTCCAACAGTGGCAGATCCACGATTAACAGCCTCGAAAGCATATTGAACTTGGAAGAGATTTCCGTCTGGAGCGAAAATAGTGATAGCTTTATCGTAAGTTGGCATTTTTAAAAGTTTATATCTTTAAATTTATTAACCAAGTTATAATTCCTTGATTATTAGTTCTCACTCATTCTTTATTTTGAATGCATAATTTAAGTGCTTTAAATATGAATGTTCTAGTATTTTTAGTTTAAACAAAGCATTAATATAATAAGATAACGTGAGATTATAGGAGTGATTAACTACAATTAATTAAATCAAAGCTGCACACCTAATAATAAACTCATTCATTGCCAATAATCCCTTTCTTTCATCTATCTCATTCTTCTTCTAGGTTGATTGCTGTACCAAATCTCGCGTATAGATAACTCTTAAGGTTTTTCATTTCGTTTTCAATCTCATCAAGCTGATCTTGCAATTTTTCCAATTCCTCCTAGGTTTCCTCCATAATTTTCTGTTAATACTTGGTGGCGGTCTCTTCGTCAACATCGATCAATGCCTCACCGATTTGAAGTTTAAGACCCTCACCAAATGACTCCTCAATCATCTGCTCAGCATCCTAGAGAGCATCTAGTTTCTCCTTAAGGGCTTTAATATCCTTGCGGTATTCGTGAGATCTCATGTTCAATTTAGAGAATGCATTGATCTTTTGTTGATCCTCTCTAGAAATCTCAGTGTCTTACTATAAAATAAAGTTAGGTATTGAAATTTCAAAGGTAATAAAAGAATAGGCTAGCTATTTTCCTTACTCTTGTAACTTTTACGCTCATATTTGATAATTTAAATTTATATAATTTGTATAATTATCTAGAATTTAGGTTATTTAGCTTGTGGGGTTTTGGGGTTTTGGGGTTTTGGGG